GGCAAGCGACCCCAAGTCAGTCGACGTATTAAATCTCATGAGAGGAGATGAACGGATGGGTGGCATGCCTGCTGCAAAGGAAGAGGGTTGATCAATCTCTGCCAAGACATCTGCCACTGCATTTGAACATTGCGACTGTTGGGTCGTTGGCACGATTTCCGGGGGGGCCTTAGAGACACCCGCAGGAGCCATTTCCGCCGTGGCACCTGAAAATGTGACTGAACTTCGAGCTTCCGGCAGAGGTACTACCGGCGACCCCTTGAACTTCAGCGGACAGGACCTCGAGGTCATAATGTGGCCTACCACGTGGCATGCGCTGCAAGTGGGAGCCTTTCTGTTACCCTGGGTTCTCTCGAAACCGGATGGTTCGCGTCTTGTGCTCGTTAAGGGTTGAGTCCTATTTAGTTGGTTTGCAGCCCGGCGAGGTTCCAGAACAGGGTTTGGCAGTGCCACCCCTCGCTTTAAGTGCCAATGTGGGTGAAAATGCTCTAACAGAAGACCCTGAGCTTCTTCTTCCAGCTTCTCGAGGGTGTGGGAGCACGGCAACCCGTGTGACGAAGTGAAAGTCTGACTACATAGAACCTGACGTGGCTCTTGTAGACATAACTGCCGTTGCCCCTGGACTTTGCGCAAAGCATCATGCGAAACCCTACCTCGTACTGCTTCGAACATGAGCCCGGATACATCTAGAGGTGTGCGTAACTGTTGCGAAGCTCGAATATGTTTAAGTTCCTTGAGTTGGTTTGCGATGGCATGCTTCATGGCTTGCCAAACGTCGAAAAGGTCCAAATTCGATTTCTTAATGTGTGCTTTCATCAGTGAATGGATACCCTCGGCCCTGGGAACGTTCCATTAGCGTCTTGTCAATTGCATATAGTACAAGCCACCTGCCTCGAGGTGGCCACATTGCCGAAATGCAAGTGCATATCCACCCATGCTTTAATGATCATCTCTTTGTACGGCTCGAGCCAATACATCTTGATATACCCTACACACACTGGATATTTTTCGCCATACTTCAGTTCAAACTTGGCCAGGCGCTCGTCAAATATCTTTTCACTTGGTGAAGCAACAATCGAGTGCCAGGAGGTGTAGAATTCTTCCCATGTGTCATTTTCTGCCCGCTCTGAGGTCTCGTTTTCTTTCTGCACAAAAAAGGGCCGGCAGCGCTGGAGGACCGCTTTGTTGACATGCCAGAGGCAGAGGAGCGCTTTGGTCGTTGGAAACCAATGTGCAGCAGCGTTCATTGCAGCTAGGCATCGATCAGTCAAGACAACTGACGGAAGTTCACGCTGGTAAAGTGACCTGAGATGTTGTAACGCCCAAGAGTAATCCTCTTCCGATTCACCGGATAGAAATGCAAATGCGATACAGAACGACCGCTGGCTAGAATCTACTCCGACCATGTCGAGTAGCGGCATACCGTGTTTATTCGTCTTGTAGGTACAATCCAGTAATAATACGTCCGGGTTGCATTGTAAATACGCCACAGAGTCAGGATGGGCAAAGAAGATAGCCGTCAGTCGATTGTCTACATCCAAGCGGACGCGATACCAAAAGCCCTCGTTATCTAATTGGTCGACTAGGGCTTGAATGCTGCTCTGGCCTTCGCGAAGATCTCTCCTGGTTGCCGCAATCCGGTTGTATATATCCCGCTGAGTTGCAAGAGTTTCTGAGTGGTTATGGAGATAGGTCCTTATTTCTCGAGGGGCAGTTCCAGATTTCACGAGTTTGGAGACGATCGCCGCATCTTTTCCCGCAAGCTTGCGGTGGGCAGGGTGTGCAGAAGGATCATCGCTGGGCGCGTGATTATGTTTAGCACATTCGATGTCAGGTCGGTGGCTCAAGACCCATGTACTACCATCTAGCGATTGCTTGGCTAGAACTGAAAACTTGCAGCCAGTTCTTCGGCTCGAAGTGCGTCGCACTCGATCAGTAGAAGGGCTTGGAGGAGGTTTATTCCTATCACAAGCGAATATTACTCTGACTCTGCCATTTGGTGTCTTGAGGGATTTCCCTGTTGTAAATGCGTACCCTCGAGGTTTCGCCCAAGAATTGATAGCATCAAGTAAGGACTCGCGTGATTCATATGTGCCTTCGGGTGGAAGAACGTCGTCAGGGAATGCTGCCTGATCCATGTTTCATCAATCTGATTGGCGCTGCAATGTGCAGTGGCTGCAGGAACATGCTGGGGCACAGGTTCTGTCCCAGCGCTAGAGGAGTGCTGACATAATTTGGGCACCTGGGTGCGCTAGTCTATTTGGGCACCCGGGTGCCCATGTATCAGTCCCCCGACCCGAAGTACCCAGATGACTAAGGACGAAAGACCCTAAACCTAAAACGAAACGACCGGGGGTTTTGCAACAGTGCTCCCTATCGCCCACCGTAATGGAGGGGACGGCGGTGACAAC